GCCGTTTCACCCAATTGTCTAGTATGTCTCACAACTTCTGCCAACGCACCTATGTTGTGCATGGCGTCTGTCTGTCTGTCTGTCTGTCATCCTGTGGTGTTGGGTCCTCGTTTTGAAGAGACGGTCCCCGTGCTCCCTCATTCCTTCCTCACTCCGACCTCCCCCTCCTCCCTCCTCTCTGCGTTTCACCCACACGGTACATCGCTTCGTGGCCCCATAGGGAATTCCACCGAAGCCCCCGGTGGGACCGCCAGCATGCGTCCCGGAAACCCTATTTGGCATGTTCACCCACCCAGTACAGCGCTTCGTGGCCCCATAGGGAGCTCCATCGGAGCCCCCAGTGGGACCGCCCGCATGCGTCCTGGAAACCCAATTTGGCAATTTAACCCACCCAGTACAGCGCTTCGTGGCCCCATAGGGAACTCCACCGAAGCCCCCAGTGGGACCGCCCGTATGCGTCCCGGAAACCCGATTTGGCATGTTCACCGACCCAGTACAGCACTTCGTGGCCCCATAGGGAGCCCCACCGAGGGCCCCAGTGCTACCACCCGCATGCGTCCTGGAAGCCCAAGTGGGCATTTTCACCCACCCAGTACAGCGTTTCGTGGCCCCATAAGGGAGCTCCACCGAAGCCCCCAAGGGTACCGCTCGCAGGCGTCCCCGAAACCCAATTTGGCATGTTCACCAACCCAGTACAGCGCTTCGTGGCCCCAGTGGGACCGCCCGCATGCGTCCCAGAAACCCGAGTTGGCATTTTCACCCACCCAGTACAGCGCTTCGTGGCCCCATAGGGAGCTCCATCGAAGCCCCCAATGGGACCGCCCGCATGCGCGCCGGAAACCCAATTTGGCATTTTCACCCATCCAGTACAGCGCTTCGTGGCCCCATAGGGAGCTCCACCGACGGCCCCAGTGTTACCGCCCGCATGCGTTCCCCCCCCACCCAGTGCAGCGCTTCGTGGCCCCATAGGGAGCTTCACCGAAGAACATATTCACAATTGCCGTACCCTGAACTGCATATGGTTGGGTCCTTCGCCAGGATAATTTCATTCCCCGACTGATTCGGCTGTATTCGCAACCTGTTCCATCGTGCTTGTTCTGCACAGTTGTTTGTCCTTCCAGGTTCTCGAATCTGAACTAAAGTGCCTTCGCTTGCCGTCCTGCGCACATGTTGCGGCTCACGACATTCTAACTCATCAGTAACAGTCCGTAACCTTCCCCTTCCCCGTTGGTGACGGTCCTGACTCCCGCTGCGGTCTCCCTCTCAATGAACCCTTTTACTTCCTCATGATTAGGTCTGCGCCGTTTTACGTAACTGCCGTCGCCCACGTAGTACGCGGCTTCACATAGCTCACTGAACCTCACTGGGTTGAGGTTAAAGATGGGCGGATGCGCTTAACTCCGGGAGCGGATCTCTTGGATGGGCGGGTGCTGCTGCCGCTGCTGCTGCGGCTGCCATTAACGTAGCTCCGCTACCATGCAACTTCCCGCGGAAGACTTTTTCGAGAACGAACCAAAGATGACCCACGTTTAAGAACAAGGCAAAGCAACTGCACCGCTGTCAAGCACTTGAGAGAAATGTCAGCGGTAACGCTAACACCCGACTAAGGGATATGCTGTCTTTCCACACAGTCGCATGGCCATGTTTTAACTTCTCCTCCTCCTGCTCGTCCTCCTCCTCCTCCTTTTCTTCCTCCTCCTCCTCCTCCTGCTCCTCCCCCTTCTCCTCAAGCTTATCCTCCTCCTCCTTCTCCTCCTTCTGGCCAGAGGCCTCTACAATAACATGTCGCACCTCTGAACGCGTCGGCACGACATGCCCAGCGTTCTGGCTGGGACTTCCCCACCACTTATGATCCTGATGCTAGAAATTCTCAACTGATTCAAGGACTGAGGGCGGGAACATTCTACAATGTGGTGTTCGCCCTAACGCCGCACGCTTTCGTCTCAAAAGCTTGCAACAGCTGCAAGGATGGAGGGAAGCTCCTTTTCAAAATGGGTCTCTCGCCTCCGCACTGCGCGACGTCTTCCCCAAAGGTTGCAACAACCTCAAAGATGGAGGGCAGCTCCAATCCAAACCGAGGGTCTCGCCTTTGCGCCGCGCACAATCGCTTCAAGCTGCGCAACGCTTTCAAAGATGCAGGGCAAGTCCTTGTTGAAACGGGTCTCTCGCCCTAGCGCCGCGCACGTACATCTGAAAAACCTGAAGCTGTTACAAGGACCGAAGGCGGTTCCGATTCGAAGTCTGGCTCTCGCGTGAGACATCCTGGAACCCCAAACCCAGGGACAAGAACACATGCAACGACTGCACGGGTGAAGGGTGGCTCTTTGTTCAAAATCCGACTAGAAGCTGCAACATTGGCACAGCTGTACGGATGGGGAGCGGCTCCTGCTTCACAATGACGCCTTCGTTTGACACTTCCCCGTCGCTCATGGCAAAAAGTAAAAACATGCGCAGCGTCACACCGATGGGGGTGGTTCAATTTTCGGAACGGAGATATCACTCGACACCACGTTGAAGTGCACTGTATGATAATGTATTCGTGCGTTCCCTTTGGCCCGCTGAAAAAATACAAGGCAATCGGTTCCTTTTCAAAGCGGGGCTCTCCCATGAACGGAAGGCCCTTGGGGCGTTGGTCTTTCAAAAAGGGCCTGCCTGAAGCGCTCAGGAAGGCTTGTAGGGACTTAGGAGGCGGGGGCTTGGGACGGGAACGCGTATTGCAACATCATGAATGCACCGTCGGGTTATTCTAGTTATCCTCTTCCGCCTCCCGCGTATCTTCCTCTCCCTTCAGCATCCCCTCCTCGTCCCCCTCCTCCACTCTTCATCCTCGCTTACGTTGCCCCGGCGTAGACCAGCCAGGATCGTCGTCGCGTCTAACTCATCGACCTCATCATACTCCTGCTCCGCATCCCTCCTCCCTCGTCCCTCCTCCTCCCTCCTCGATCCTGCTCCAGCTCCCTTTTCCTCCTCCTCCTCCTCATCATCATCGACCCTCCCCCTTTTCCTCCACCTCCTCCCTCCTCCCCCCGACAGCGACGGCGACACCGACAACGACGGCGATGGCTGCGACGACAGCGACCCACGACGACCAACACGGCGGCTGCGGCGGCGGCGGCGACGATGACGACGACGACGACCACGACCACGACGGCGGCGGCGGCGACGAAAACAACGAAAACGACGACGCCGACGACGACGACGAAACCAACGAAAACTACGAAAACGGCGGCGGCGGCAGCGACGTCCCCCGCGAGGCCCGCCTGCGATGAGCGCCGCGGCGGTTGGTGCCAGGCCGGGCCAGGGAGAACGCTTCGGGGGAGAAGGACATTGCGGCATCGACAGGCCAGGCCAGGAGGAGCACGAGGAGGGGAGGAGGAGCACGAGGAAGGGAGAGGCAAAAAGGAAACAAGACGCGGTGTTTGACAAATTCGGCTACACGTGGAGACTAGAAAGACCTTTGGCGCGCGGCTTTAGGGACGCCCGTGGGGACCCAACGCAACCGTGAAAGCAGCTGTTGTCGCACCGTATCATCGGTCAGCGGGACGCGCCACGAAAGTTCAGTAGCGCTGGCAAGCAACCACAGAATTTCGCCTATTCGATTGTAACGAATGGCGCGCCGAAAACGCTACGAAAGCACACGCTGCACAGGGCAACCACGATGAGGTCTGGCACTGCAGGGCCGCGTCGTGATGACGTATGTCCGGGTCCGCTATCGTGGACAAGCCCAGGGCCAAAAAAATACTCATAATATGTTAGAACAGAATTGGGTAGTTTGCAATCGTGCAAAGCCCCACGGGTCCAAAAGGATATTCGGAGATCGGCCAACGTGCCTGTAGCACGAGTTGGACTGCCCCAAGGCTCGTGCAGCACTGACAGGCAAACGCTGTGCTACCACTGCAGCGTGAACTGTAAGTTCTGAAAGGGACGGGACCAACGTTTTCTCAGACTTTCCGGTTTCGGCCCCCGTGTGTGAGTTGATTCTTGCGCCTCCCCCTCACAAAACAATCTCCCCAACCCTCCTATGACTCCACGAGGGCCCCGAGTGGCCAAACGATCGCCCCAAGACGCCCAAAACGCCTCAAGATGGCCCAAGGGGCCTCCAAAACGCCACGAGAAGCCCCCCAGAGGCCTCCCAAGAGGGCCCCAAGGGGGACCAAAGAGAGACACATCATTGATATGCCTTTTCCTGGTGTTTGAAAGATTGTGGTATTCTCGTCCTTCGAATTCCGACGCTCTCAGACGGCCCATGAAACCCCCAACACCACCCCCAACACGGCCCACGCATCCTCGAAGAGAGCCCCTTACATGGCCCAAGAGCACCCCAAAATGTCCCAAGAAACGCCCGAGACGGTCCAAGCCCCAAGACGGCCCCAAAAGGGGCCCAAGAGAGGAAACAATTATTAAACATCTGAGCTCAAGGGGCCCAGATTCGAGGGAAGCGCTAAACTGCATCGGCGCATATCAAGAGCACCGCGACACAACTCAACTCCGCCCGAGGTTGTACCCAGAGGAGGCTCAACCTATGAAGCCGACGAATCTTCCCTGCTGAGATGCGGCCCACGCTCAGCCACTGCTGCACTGGCCCCGCCAGCACACACCGGAGGCACGCACCCACCTACAAAGGGTGGCTGGCATTTAGGTGCGAGGGAAGCGGGAGCTAGAACCCTTGCCCCTTGCACTGCGACCACCTCTACCCATGCCGCATCGCGCGCGCCTGAAGATCTGAATGCTGAAATGCAGTCCCGACTCCAAAACATCTGGGACAGGGGGGGGCTCTCCAGTCTGCGCACCAGCTCGAGAGGAGGAAGAAGCAGGAGGAGGAGGAGAAGGCAAAGAAGGACAACGAGAGGGAACAAAACTTTGCGCTACCATGGCAGTCAAGCGAGTACTGTGCTGTAGGAGTGGCGGCAGCCTCATCTCACCCATGTGTTCTCGTCCAGGTACTGGCCTGATCACCCTCTCTAGCGGGCCTCTGGGCGCTGGCCCGTGGACGGGAAAGCCTCCCTCCGCCAGAACGAGCTGCTGCATCCGACCGTCGATCACTTTGCCGAAACCGCGGCTCGGGGAGAATTGCCACATGATCATGCGTTGCTGCTCCTGGTCATCCTGTTCCCCGTGGGTTTCGATGCGGAAATGCCCCGCAATCTCCGAGACCTGACTGACCGTCGCCGTCGGAAGTTGATCCTGGAAGAACGCCATCATCTCCATCACCAGCTTCTTCTCGTCGCACTTGCCATCGACCGCCGTGCGACTCGCTCCGCATCCGATAGTTGCCATGAAGATGGCCCATAGAGGCGCGCCGCGCGCCTTGTGGTCGCGATAGCTTCGAAGAGGCTGAAACTGATTCAGGGCCGTGGCCGCCTCTGACAGACAATGACCCCTCCTGCACGAACGCTCGAGATGAGTAGTTGCGCCCTTTTGCGTCGCTCGAACTTGCCTGCAACAAATGCGCCCATTGCGTGGCGAGATAACGCACGATAGACTGCGCATGTTGCGAGCCCCTTCGCATGTGGCAGTAGCGCCCCCCTGCTCGTAAAGATCGCCCCGCGTTCCAGTCCCTTTCTGCCGTGCCTGCGCACAAACTCCCTCTTTTTCCCCCAACGAACGGGCGGAAGAGGAACGGCGCTAGCATGCCACCCAGGATGTGGAAAACCTACGCCGAAGGCTTTACTGCGCAGCTCATTCATGTCGATGGCACAGAAGTCTCCCATCGCATCGAAATCTGAAGTCACCTGTCGCAGATATGGCGAAGCATACCCAGCCGGCCGGCCAAAAGACAAGCGAGGCCCTGGGTCGAACTGCAACTCGCCAAACAGCGCCGCGAGCAATTGCGAGCGGTGGCCAGGCTGACGGCCCCAGGCCAGGCACATCCTCAGTCGTCTCAATATGGGCTCCTGCGCGGACGGAAGGGCACTCCCGAACTTCAAAACCCCCTCGTTCGTAAGACTGGTGACGCGGCCCCCCTCTCGATTTGGAGCCCTGCCACCCATCGCCGCGCGAACCAATTTACTGAGACAAGAACCCACGACTTCGCAGCCATGGTTCGTTCGCGGGAAACTCTCGAGGCCAGACAACAAAGAATGTTGCGCAAATTCGAAATGAACACCCACGCCACCTGGTCGCCAAATCCGCAAGACTCCAGATACCACCCAGAGAATGGAAGCCACCACGAGCCGCCTGACATCGACGAACAACATCCGAACGCGCCGAATCCGGCATGCTGAGGAATGGACCTAAGCCTCTACCCCCCCGAGCCCACCCCCCCAGGTTCCTGCGTCGCAAGTTCGACTTAGTAAGGGTCCCTTGGTGAGCAAAGTGCACGAAGAACTACTGCTTGGATTCGTCCCGAGCGAGTCCGAAACGGGATACAACCGAGCCGAGGTACTGGTCGGCCATCCTAAGCTTGTCAAGAAATGTCGTTCGCGAATCACCTGGGTCGGGAATGCTGATCCCATTCATATCATCGGCGTAATTCTGCTAAGACGCACCCGCTGCCCCCCCCCCCGCCGCCCCCCCCCCCCCCAATAACTATGTTGATATCAGGCCCCAGTCCCGCAACTCCATCCCCCTATGCCAATGCCGGGAACATGAAACCTCGAAGGAAGGCTGCGACAATAAACGGATCGCCCATGCACACTCCTTGCGGCGGGCGGACCAGCAATGGCTCATCTGCTGCAGCAAACTGGATGAGCGCCTCGGTGAAGCGCTGCTGGCAGAGATGCACACTGGCCTCAATGCATGAAGACGGGCCACCTCCTTGAAAGTCTCGTGAGAAGTGCTGCCGAGGGCACCGCTGAGATCTCTGAAACACACGGCATGCGTCAGTCCACCCTCGCGCAATCTTCTGCTCACACGTGGGAATATAAGACCGCCCCCATCCCGCCTCCTGCCCATCACGAAACTGCGCGCCCATGACTGCCGGAGAAACCCGAAGCTATTTACTGAAGAAGCCGTTCCCCACGACTGCCAATAAATGCACGACGCGTCGTCCGTTAGGCCCTAGCAGGGCCGACTTGCGTAAACCACAAGCTGCACTTCTGCGCCAGCGCAGGGGGGTCATTCCACGCGCGCGGATCCTGGCCAAGCCAACGTGGAAATACAACTTAAAATCGAGAGTGGTCGGCGGCTCGGAATCGTAGCCCAAACCTACCTTCAACTGGGCCGCAGGGCGTGGCCCCGGAAGAAATAGCATATGCCACAGCTCCAGCGGCGCCCTGTGCGCGGGCACGGCCTTTCTCTTCTTCGAGCAGATGAGGTGCGACCCAAGATGGACGAGTAGTCCTCGTTGGTCCTCTCGAACAGGTCTGCGCCTGGAAGCCAGTGGAAGTAACCGCCCCGATCCGCGCGCAACGGGCCCCATTCACGTCGCCCTACTGCCATTCCGCCTTCAGGCCCAGACAATCGCCACGCCGACAACCACTGGTCTGCTGAAAGAGGCGCTGGCCGCATCAGAGCTCTGTTGGGTCCGATGCAAAAACGAAATGCCAGCCGTGAGAGTCACATGGCTTCATCAGCTCGACGTTGTCGCCACATTGTATTTGCCGCCGCCACTACTCCGTCACGGCGTTGTCTGTGGAATCGACGCCGAGAAAGTTTCAATCGTTGTGCCGAGACCCCAAGCTCTGCATCAATGGCCTCCACAACCAGTGTATCAACATGAAAGTTGCCTGCTCGAACCTCCGGTCGCTGTCGTAGAAGCTCACGGCGGGAAGCGAAGTGTTCACTATAGTGTTCGCATGGTGGCGGTCGAGCAGCTGCACTGAAGTAGCCCGCCCCTGCCTCAATGACTGCGGCATCCAACATCTTGAAAATCTCGTCTGGTGACGCGCTCTCCTTCATATGTCTCGGGTCATCCCGCGACAACTTGGTCGCCGCCGATTCAATGCAGTATCGCTTGCCTTTTTGGTCCTGCATCAAAGCCTGCATGCGCAGGTAAAGATCCCACCAGATCTCCTGCCAAGTCGAAACTGTTCCCGAGCCTTGCGTAGTAGCTCGCCTGCTCCATAAGACATGCACTCCACAGATCCGATGTCCACTGCTGCACTGCGCCCATCCGTCACGCCTGCGCCACACTTTCGGAGGCCCATGCCGCCATCTAGATCACAGAACAGGAAGGGAAGACATCGCGCAGAGATTTCAGCAAAAGCATCGCGCAACCAGTTCGGCAAAATGCGCACAATGGCAAGGTCGTTCTCGTTCTTCTGAAGCCCGAAATCTATCGGTGGAAAATCCTTGCTGATGTAATCAAGATCCTGCCGTCCTCTCTTAAGACACGCTGCGACAGCGCGCCCTCTGGCCCCCGCTGGTGATGGCCAACTTCGAATAACGGGATGCTCACGGAGCTCGCCACCGATATAATGATTTAACATCCACAGCCAGGATTCGAAAATGGTGACGGGCCGCACGGCGCACAGACAACCAGGGAACCAGCAATACGAGATCTCAGAAACATGCTGCCTGTGGAATTCTGCCTGAAGTCGGACGCCTGCGCCCCCGAGAGAAGAACGGCATCAAACTTGCGCCGATCGGTAATGGGATCCCCCAGTCTGTCGCGCGTCGTAGCCTGCGGGTTCCAGCCCAACACGCGAAGCCGGGACATCCCCCGCTGGGCCGCATCACTGCGCCATGTCGGTGGCGCTCTGGCAGGAGGCGAGAAATGTGGGTCTCTCAAACCCATCCGCGAAACAACTGGGCTTGCGCCTGATGGGCTGAGCCTCCCCAGGAGGCCCCAAGAGGCGTCTCCGAGGCCCCACAAAACCCCTAAAAGGTCCCCAAGAGACCCCACGAGGCCCCCAAGAGGCCCAGAAGAGGCCCCAAGAGGCCCCAAAACGGCACCCGAGAAGCCTCATAACTGCATCCAAAAATCCCTGAAAAGGCCCCCACGAGATCCCAACAAACATCCAATAGGCTTCACTACGCCCACAGCCAAGGCACGGTGGCGGGATGGGCGTATTCAAAGATAGTTAAACGTTTTCTCGAGTAGCCCCATTAGCGGCACGATGCGACGCCCCACGCGGGGGCGGCAAGTTTGGCCGGCCGTGGGTTCCGAGCAGGGAAAGGTTGCGGAGGGGGTCGCGGCCGTTTGGGCGGGGCGCCCGGGTGCACTCTGGCGCCGCCCTTGGCCAGTTTACGCGCAACGTCGGTGGGTCGCGCGTTCCAGTGGTCGGCCAGGCAACGCTCGCAGAACCAGTTGGCGTTCCAGCTCATGTCCGAGACGGCGGTGGCCAGGTCGTTGAATGGAGGGAGGCCCTGGGCGCGTGAACCCAAGTCGGCTGCAACGGGCCGGCAGATCAACATGCCCAGCGGTCTCTGCCCGCACTTCCACTCGCGCATCGGAGCGGCGCCACGGTACCGATCGCATTTGCTCCTCCACCCCTGCGCGTCTGCCATGCCGCCGAACCTGTCGGCTTCGGTGCAATGGGTCGGCATGGCGGCGCGTGCTGCGGCCGGGTCGCGCACGCCTTCTTGGGCCAGCAGGAGCTGCCATAGTGGTGTCTGGGCGCCGGGGGGAGCGACCTGAGGCGACGCTGGCAGCGGTTTGGGCCCCTGCGGTTTGATTCTAGTGCCGCCCCGCTCGGGATGGGCCCTTTGCCCTCTGGGGTGGACTTCCAGCAGGAGATGCAGAAACACCTAAAACCGATGCCCCGCTTTCAGAGTTGCAGGCGGCCGGCTGCAAGTTTTTTTGTTTCGGGCATCTGCGTTGACCAAGCCACCTCCTTCAGACCTGCGGGGGGCGCAGGGGCCCTTCGAGCACTCGTCGCAGTAGACCTGGGGTGGCTGCGCAGCTGGTTCGAACATGTTATCTTCTGTCTGCAATGTCGCTGGGACGAACGCGACTCCAGGAAGGGCCCAGGCACGGGGGCGGGTCGCGCAGCTCGCGCACGCTGCTGGTCTGCCCATTGCCGATGTACTGGGCAACTGTTGAGGTCGGCGCGGCGGGGGGGGGTCCCACGTCAGAGCCAGTCAGGTCTTTTGAGCGCGCGCAGATGGCGCACGCGCGCACGCTGAGCACTGACAGGTCGGCCGCGGCGGCGAGGTGGCCAAAAACTGCCAGGGTGGGCGTCGAGGGGAAATCCTGAGTGAATAGTTCGCTCCAGGTGCTTGCACTGTGGTGCTCTCGGGCGACGTGGCGGCGATGGGCGACCGTGACTAAGCGCGAGGAAGCTCTGGTGAAGGCCTCGACGTGCCCGTGTAGCCATGAGAAGCCCAGCCCTGTGACGCCGCGCGCCTGACCGAAGCTACCCCTTACAGGCAGTCGCTTCTTAGCGTAGGGCTCGCACAGGGCCAAGACCGCCTCTAGGACGTCGCCAACGTGACACGCGCACATGCACACACAGTGCAACAGAGGCTGCAGCGTCGGGAGCGCAAGAGCCCACTGTTTGGGCCCGACACTGGTAGACGTGATGATGAGAAGGGTGAGGATGGTGGCGATGCTGACGAAGTCGAGCAACATCGGGCTATTGAGGTCTCAGCGGCCCGCCCGGCCCTCACGCAAGGGAAACTGGGCCAGTCAGTCGACGGCCGCGACTGACACCTTACCCTGCACAACGTACGAGTGCCCTCACAATGATTGCGCCGTCGAGCCCACGCGTGTTCGCATTCTCTGGGTTGTAGGGCTGACTCAACATGATTGCAAGGGCAGAGACTCACGCGACGAGAGGTGGGTGTGAAGTAGCCGAGGAGGATAAACAAAAAGCAAGAAGTAGGGAGGGAAAGACAGAAGGACGACGGACTGGATAATCGAATCGGAGCAGCCATGCGCAAAACGCGCGTGGGCAAGACACTCGGCGAACGCGCGAGCAACGCCAAACGCGTCAGCTGGCGAACAGAAGGCGCCAAAAGCGCGGCAAGACAGACAGCGACGACGCGCCGAATGCGCGCCAGGAGGACGAGGGGGGGAGGGAGATGACGACGGCGTCTATTTCAGCCAGGGCGCACAGGACAATCAGCTCTCATTAAAAAATGTTTCTCTTCTGCGAAACTGGCGCTTTTTACAAAAATGACCACGAGCGATCTCCAACGCATCGGGCCTGCGACTGCTGCCGCGAAAGACTCCGCGGCCTCGAAGCGGGGTCTCGCACGATCATGCAGTTCGGCTGCCCACTCCTGTTTGGGCCGCCCCCGCTTGCGCGCGCAGGTCCACGCCGCAGGGGGGACGGTGCCCGGCTGGAACGCTGGCCCCCGCAAAACGTGATTGTTGGGATACCGACCGGTTTTCCCAAATAGTAGTAGCTGTTGGTTCAACAGTTGGGAAATGCACGGTTCTTGCTCGCTTTTTTCCAAAACTCACTCGTTGAAGACTGCGGAGACGAATGCCGGAGGTATGTGCAAGATTTGTCTGATACACGTGGCCTAGAATCCGCCCAACCGCTTCCTGTCGGCTCTGGTGAGCCACGCGGAACTGACGGAGCACATGACCTCACTGGGGGTCATCGCGTCGAAGATTCGCAGCTTTCTCCTGGCACCGATCGAAATGCGCCCCCCAAACCTTACAATACATGGATAACTCACCCCACGCCGCCCCCAATCCTCGATTGAGCTCCCCGGAGTTTCTGCCAGCGTTGCTCAGTGTAGCTCTCAGGTAGACAAGACGTTTTTAAGGCTGCACGGGCGCTCCAGAAGGCGAGTATAACTCTATGTCGCTCTGCACATATTTCACTTGGGATTTGACCCAATGTACTTCCATGCCCGCCTTTCCTCCAGAAGTGGCGATTGCGTTCAGTAGCTCCCGCGCGTGCCCTGCGTTCCAAAGATAAGAGCGTCGTCCGCATGCAGTAAGACCGATAAATTTCCAAGTTAAAACGCTGTCTTGGCCGGGTCACTCAACGTCGCGGTTGCGTCTTGTATTATCACTGGCATTACCATTACAAATAAAAACGGGGACAAGGGGCACCCTTGCGCGACGCCAGATCTCTGCTGCCTCTCGCGCGACCTGTGACCCCCATCTGCCGCGCAGAAGCCCCCGTTGGTATAGATGCTCTTGATTATTGCGAGAAGACGAGCAGGGAGCCCAAACCTATGCAACAATACAAACATAGCTTCCACATTAACCGAATCGAATGTTTTTCCAGTCTAGCGCAACGAAAGTGGCCCCTGCAGTTTCCCCGGCGTTTGCCATTTCGACGCACCTGCGGACCACGTGCCCGCGGACCACGTGGATAGCGTCTGTCGTGCCCCGTCCTCGGCAGAAGCCGAATTTAGTAGCAGCAAGCCGGTCTTCTGCCCCAGCGTCCTGAAGTCGCCGCAATAACAAACTTGCCGCCACTTTGTACGCTACACACAAAAAGCTGATCGGTCCGTAGTTGCCGCAGATGTGCACTGGCCCTTTGTTTTTGCAAATCGTATTCACCAAAGAATGCCGCCAGGCTTGCGGGACCGACTCTTCTAGCCAGCATGCGCTGCATAATTTTGTGAGCCACTGTACCCCCCAAGCGCTTGGGCCACTGTTTTCCAATACTCCGCCGGGCCGTCCGGGCAGCTTGCCCTGCCCCATTTCAATTGTTGCACAACTGTTCCAACTTCATGAACAGAGAACTCATTTCGTTCACTGGCAGCGTCGGCCCCAAAGGTTCTTGCGAAATTATCTCCGCAGGCCTTACTCTCCATTGCACATGGTCCATGACTTCTGCCATAATGTCCGCTCGTTTGTTACTCTCCACCATATTCCCGGCCACGTTTTGCAACCTCCCTTGTTTGCGTCGGCGCCCCCGGCAGAAGGCCCGGATAGCATGCCAATTTCCATTTGCAATATGCTCTTCGGTCCAAGCTGTCTTGTCCATGTTACACGAAATCCACACTTCTTTATATTGGTGTGCTTCCTCCTGCTTGTTGTCCGCCTGTCGGGCGAGAATCCGTTCTTCTATCAAGTCAAGTGTGCGCTGACTAATCCACGGCCTTTTTTCCTTTCCGCGGGAGCTGGTGGAAGCACGGCTGTCGCAGCTTCGGTTGCTTGCACACTTTTCTCCCTCAAATTTTCCATGGAAGCTCGATAAGAAGATCACGGTTCTGAGCGTCCACTGGCTGCACGGCCTTCCGCCCACCAACCGAAATACCCAAGAATGTGCTCTTCTCCGTTGCATGCGCAACCCATTCGTGCATTGAGGTCCCCGAATATGACTTCCCCCACATTGGCGAAGCACGCCCGCCCTGTATTCAACATCGAGGTCATAATAAAATGCTAGTTTCTCCGGGGCAGGCTTCGGCTTTTGGGGGGCGTACACGCAGAAAACACCAAAAATGCCATTCATCGAACGAATAGTTATCCAAGCGGGTCTGTCTGAGATCTGCTTATACGAGCTGGTTTTTCGCTCTGATATAACAAACCCCACTCCAGCGTACGTTTGCCCATCCCCTTCTGCACCTGACAGTACCACAACATATCCGTTGAAAGTATAGATGCCTGGTTGCTTTGCTCGTGTTTTCTGTAAACAAAACACTTGGATATCAAGGCTCTTCATGCGCACCGTAGTTTCCACAAGTTTCTCCTCTGTCAAACCTTTGACGTTCCACGTTGCAATATTGAACTCTGGATTGTGCTTCTCATGGAGGCTGTTGCACCTTGAAGGTGAAACTCTTCCTGTGCGTCCCTGGCTGTCAATTCGCAGGCTTCCCTTTGCCCGCTCCTTTGGACAGACCAATGGCGCTTTTGTCCAGCCTGTCGGTGAGCTCCTGCTGTAGTTCTTTCCATTATGGTGACTTTTGAAACACCTCCCACGTCTCCCACGAAGGATCCAGCCAATCCACTTTAAGCTTCGTTTCCAAAACTTTGACTTGAAGCATCCCTTTTCCCCCAGCTTTGATTACCCTGGCGTCGTCGTCGACCTTCGGGAACTTTTGTCGAAGAAGAAGAAGAAGAGGAACAATAATAATGATATGAACAAGAAGAGGAAGAACAAGGAGGGTGGACAAAGGAGAGGAGAAGAGCGAACAGGAGCGAGCACGAGAAGGTGAGGAAGGGAGAGCGACGCAGGGATGCAGGAGCGAGGAGGAAGGAGAGAAGATGTACGATGCATGAGCCAGCTTCGATCGGCCAGGACAGGAGGAGCGAGCACGAGGAGGGGAGTAGCACGAGGAGGGGGGGAAAGGAGGAGGAGACGGAGACGACGACAGCGAGAGGAGCATTTTGTCGCCCCCGCCGCGGCGGCTCCACGCGCTCATTCTGTCCCAGCTGCGCCCGAAAGACGAAGGCAAAAGCTCTCCACCGCCCACCGTGCCTCCACGCGCGGCCCCCTCAACCAAAAGCCCTAGATCTTCTGGCGAGCCCGGGCTGTACACGGCAAGAGTGGGGACGGCCTTGGCCCGAGGAAAGACGTTGCACAAGATTAATCGAGTAGGAGGTCGACTACAACATTGATGTACCCCAAACTTGGAATTCTCGCCGAATCGACGAAACGTGCACACCAACTTCGTACATTTACGAGCATTCTACGCACATGTCTGGTAGATACGACAAGGAAATCGATTTCGGGGTAAATCAAGTCTGTAACCATGAACCCACGAGAATAACCCCCCAGGGATAGTAAAGTTCGGGGTGTTCGGGGAGGTAATAAACTTGCCCGCCAGAGCCAGCATAAAGAGACAGAGAGAGGAGACATCCTTGAGGGAGGAGGAGGAGAAAGAGCAAGAGGAGGAGAGGAGAAGGAGATTGCAAAAATCCAAAGTTTAAAACTTATTAGATTTAATGTGTAAACGCTTGATGAAAATTAAAAGTTTCATCTGCTCGTGTAGGGTAGCTCACGTGCCTCGTTTTTCAAGGAAAATCAACCCCAGCGATAAACAAGTTCAGGGCGCCAGAGGGAGGAGGAGAAGAAAGAGATAGAGATACAGAGAGAGAGAGACAGAGAAAGAAAGAAAGAGAGACAGAAAGAACTACAAAGAGACAGAAGGACATTGGTTTCGCTTGAGACATCCTGAAACAGCGTGCTCGCTTCGCTTGATGTTGCTGTCTCAACATAAGAAGGAAGTAACCTCGATGGCGAACTTTTCCCGTGATAATGAAGTTCGGCCTCCGCGCTCCCGCGCCCCCGACCAAACTCTTATTGGTCGACGATAAAAAACTCTAACGACTTAAGGGGGGGGTACATTTATCGTGGGTAGGGGGTTACCTAGTCGACCTCCCACTCGAATTAAAGAGAGGTCAGCATCGAATCGATGAGCACGACCGAATCAACAAGTGGATCGAATCGGGCCGCATCGGTACGGAGTCGGAATCCGATCGGAACGACTGCGCCAGGACGAAAAATGGATCGGCTGCGCCAGGATGAATAATTGCGCCATGTAAGCATGAGGCAACACCAGACCGTCCTGATATCGAAATCGAGTCGGATCGGGTCATCCAGAATCGACGTAGAGTCAGATCCATCATATCGGAACGGACCCTGAAGATAGACTCAGCATCGTCAGGCCAGTCCCAGTCCCCAGCGGGCCATGCGTCTCAGCGCCACCACGCCCAACCCCTCGGGGTGGACACACGACGGAGAGGGCATCGATCTAGAATCAAGAATGATGGAAATCACCAATATCGGCTTTCGGAGGTTCGCGCGGACCTCCGAAAGTGTATGTTGATGCCGCTTGTCATTCGTCAAATAGATCCCAACGTAGAGAAGTAGGTCGGACAACGAAGGCAAGACATTCCTGATGGGGATGGAGATAGTTATGGAGTAAAGGTGCTGCCACAAGAGGCGCTCACGAAGGAACGAAGCCCCTGTTTTAGCAAAAAATGTGGCTGGGTGCACGAGAAGCACTGGAGACACAACCATGGAAGGACCACAGGAACAGCGTGCCCATTCCGAACCAGAACTGCTCCTCATTTCCACTTTTTGAGTGTAGCGATGCTGACAGATAGCGACTCAAACGCTGGGCACACGACGACCGCCGCGACTGCACACGGCTTCTGCCTCGAGACCGACGGCGGGTCGTGCCCGGAAAGGAAAGGAGCTGCTGCCAGCCATCTTCCCGAATCGTTCCGCCCACCCCCTCCTGCTTATTCTGATTCCTCCTCCCTCCCCTCCTCCTGACCCTCCCCCTGAGGCCTCCGGAGGCCTCGCCCCCAAAACAACAGCCCCTGGAAAACGGGGGGCGCTATGCGTGGAGGCCTGGTGGCGGCAGAGCGCCCTGCGTCACGACGAGCCCCATGGCCTCCGCTCGCCGTGGACTTTCCCACGACGCGGGCTCTCCGGAGCTCCCCCCGGATCTCAGGAGGCAACTCCTGGGAGGTCCTCGAAAGAACGATGAAGGGCTGCATTAAGCTCGACTGGTGGGCCATGAAGCTGGTGTCGCCCGGATTGCGCCCAGGATTGAGCCGGATCAGGCCAGACTGCACGGGATTAGGCGAAAGTACATGGGAGCATGCCAGATTGAGCCAACTTTCGACCACGGGTATACCAGCGCCGATGTAAAATCCGACCTCCCTGAGGAGCTGCATCCTAAAAGAACCGAGAGGTCTGTGGACACGTCGTCAGCACACCCGGCACCAGCTAACGAGCGAGGTCCACCTTGGCGGCGCGCACAAAGATGAGAAGAAGAAACCAACAAACGTATCAGCATAAACTATTGCAGGGCGGCACGGTTGTCTTGGATCGGCGCTGGTCTCTGGCGCGCAGGGGGTCCAGCGACATTCTAAGGACTCCGCGCGGACCGCCGAAAGTGTATGGTTGTGTGGTCGTCTCCACCGCTCCTCGCGGGGCCCTCGAGTGCGAGGCCAAAAACCTCTACACATCCACCGCCTGCGGGGGAAAGGCTTTGGGCCTCCAAAGGGCCAGAGCCTATCCGCATCTGCCGCCACCCGAGGCCCACGAAGACTAGCCTCCCAACCAGTGGGTGCGCACAACACGCGTCTCGGAGTCACCACCGCTCCTCGAGTGGATCTCGCGGTCCCCGAAGCAGAAAAAGGGAAAATTGCATTAGGGAAGGGGAAGTCCCAGCGCCCATCCAAGAAATCCGCGCGGGCCTCCGAACCGTTGCGGTCGTGCCGCTTTGTCTCTTCCTCGAGCTCCCGAGGGCTCGGCTCCGAGGCGATGGACGCGTCGGAGGGCCCGCTGAGACAACGGCAACTCGCCCGCCCAGCCCAAATCCGCTCAAGATCGGTCCCCGGACCCCTCTCGGGTGTTCGTCAACGGGAGGGGGGCCGTCAGGCGCGGGGCGAAGAAGCGTGCACTCTTCGAGCACCCGTTGAGGCCCGCGGTGGCAGTTCAGTGGCCGCTGAGGGCCCCTCTGGGGCCGCCCTCCTGCAACCTTGTCCCCCCACAGTTCTTGCCTCGGGGATTTACTGAGCCGGGTCAATCCAGCCCCGGGTCAGTCGGGCCTCGAAGATCCTGCAAGATCCTGCAGGAACCTGCAGGATCCTGCACCCAAGCCCGGTTCAATGCGCCCCTGGCCCTGCAGGATCCTGCAAGATCCGGCGCTCTGGCTGACCCCCGGTTGCATTGAAGACCCGAAAAGGCCATGGAGGGCAGCCGTTGTCTCGACAACCCCCCCGAACACGGCAGAAATCGAATCGAATGTCTGGACAGCAACGAATTGAGAAATCGGATCGAATCGGAATTCGTAACGAATCGGGCCGCATTCGCACTGAGTCGAAATCGAATCGGATCCGCTGCGCCAGGATGCACGACAGCGCCATATTAGCATCGGACCACATCGAATCGCCGTAAGTCGAAACCGAAGATGATCGAGCTGGCTGGAATCGATATCGAATCGGATCGGTCAAATCGAAATGGACCCTGTCATCGACCTTTGTGTGATAACTCGGGCCTCCAGCTACAATGCAGGACGATTCTGGCAACCACGGAGGGTTCTCGGCGATGCGCAGCTGCCAGAACGCATCCCGAGGCAGGAAAACCTCTAGACACAAACGAAAATATTCACAGACCCGATCGTGGGAGGATCGGTCGGATCGAAATTAGAGGCCTCCCAACTGGGTCCGAGTAGATGGGGTCAGAGGATCGCGCCGCATCGCCGAAGCACCACCATCGTCGACGTCGGCGTGAAAAACATCGGGCTTCACATCGAGCCGCATCGCCGATGCATGGGCGATGCGGCGCGATCTACCGACCCCGAAAACTTCGACACCATCTGAATGGGCGGCCTGGATAGATCAACCCTGGCGAGGAGGGGCGGAGGCAGCGACGGATGGGCGCGCCCGAAATGGGTAAACTGGGTACGATGCCCAACAGGGAAGACTGCCCAATACCGACAGCGGCCGCTTTGGGGCAAGCGGGCAACCCAAACGGGCAAACGGGCAACGTCCGTGGCGACACCCACAAGGAGCCCTGCTCAAATGGGCGGGAACTGCTGTCGGTCGTCGTGCCCACTCTTTCCGTACCCACTTCCTTCGACCGTACACAGCGACGGAGGACCTCGCTGTAGACCCCGTGCCGAGACGCATCCCGAGGCGGGAGAAACCTCCAAGAACCAACGAAAACGCCCAAGAACCCAAAATCTTGGGAGGACGGATCGGATCGACATGGACCCTGGCGAGGGCAGGGCGGAGGAAGCGACGAAATGCCCCACGACCCCGTGCGCTCGGGAGAGAAAAGCAGAGTATCAATGGCACGCCGCCGTTGGGAGCCCGTCAGCGCGACACTCCCAGGTTTTTGCCCGAAGGCCTGGTGCTTCTGCAAGAGCGTGGGTTCCCCACAGCGGCGTGCCGTTGATACTATTTGTCCTCAGCTTCCCTAATTAGGATCGGCGCAGGACCCCCCTTGGTGACGCCTCTGGCGCCGCACCCCGGCGCGCTCTGCGCGCCAGGGAGGGGGCGTCCATGGCTGATCCAAAGAGCCAAGGGCAATGCTACGGGGGGATCGGCTTCAGGGGGGAATGCATCGACCCCCAGTCGCCCCTCATCGCCCACGGGGGGCCTGACGGCCTGCGCGAGTACGCGGCGCCGATCGCATCATGTGTTGCTCGCCGACCCAGACGTCTGGTGTCTTGAGTTTCTCAATACCAGGTCCCCAGAGGTCTGCACGTTTTGCCCAGGGCGGCTCCCCATCCTGAGTCGTGTTTCCCACCCCAGCGTATCTTCTCTCCTCCGTCGGGCCGTTCAGCCAATTCGATGGTTTTGCATCAGGAGAATTTGCGTACCCCACTGTTTGACCTAAAACCTGTCGACTTGAGTTTCACGAGGCGTTGGAGGTCTAGGGAGTCTGCTCCGCCAGCCACCTGCGGCGCCGCGGCCGCGCGAGCGCCGCCGCCGCCGCGGCCCGCGGCGCCTCCACGGTGAAGAACGCGGCGGCGTCGCGGCCGCCCGGCGCGGCGGCCCCGTTGGACCGGCGCGCGGCGAGGTCCTCGGGCCGGGCGCTTGGTTCCCAGAGGGCCCAGGCATCCAGCTTCTCTCGAACAGATAAAGACTAGAACCACGCGCGCGCTTCGCGCGCGCTTAGGTTCTAGCTAGGATCATTCTCGCTGGGAGTTTGACGTAGCTTCTCGGGAGCCTCTGAACCTGTCGGGGGCCTCCTGGAAGCAGGTTCGAAGCATTTTGGGGGCCGATTTGGGGCTTCTCGGGGCCTCCTTTGGGCCTCTTGGGGGTCTCCTGGGGCCTCTTGAGGGGCCTCCTTGGGGCCTCCTGGCGGCCTCTTGGGGCGGAAGGCTCGAGCTTGCGGTTCGTGGTCCCCCTCTGGGCCCCCTCTTGGGCCCGTCTTGGGGCCCTCTTGGGCCATCTTGGGCGCCTCTTGGGCCGTCTTGGGGCCCTCTTGGGCTGTCCTGGGGCCCTCTTGGAAGCTTCTTGGGCCGTCTTGGGGCGGTCTTGGGCGCCTCGTGGGCCGTCCTGTAACGTCGGAAAGCCCAAAAAGCAACTTTGTGAAAAATGTACGTTTTACGAAGGGAATGGGCCAATGTTTGCGTCTAGGGGCCCTCTTGGGACGCATGTTGGAGGCTTCTTGGGGCGTCTTGGGGGCGTCCTTGGACGTCTGGAGGCCATCTTCAGCATCTTGGAGCCCTCTTGGAGGCCTCTTGGAAGTTTCTTGGGCCGTCTTGGGCGCTTCTTGGGCCGTCTTGTCTGACTGGGGAGGCCTCCGGCAAGCCCCGACGAGCCTCCGGGCCCCCCGGGGCCCACATTTGTGGTCGGGGTCCCGGCCCCGGGCCCCCGGACCCGGTGCGCCGTTATATGTATACGCAGGCTTGTCCTCTCACACCCAGGCACCTTGTCACGCTGGGCATTGTCGCCAAGTTCCGGTCCCCTGGCCTGGGCCCTCGCAGATCAACCTGGCTCGAGAAACGCTGGTTTCCAGAGGTGGGCAACTTCTGGAAGGTCTTCGCTGGAGCGATTTGGGGCTATTTTGAACCCGACTGAGGGGCCGTGAAGCCAGATTCGCTCAGAAACAGAACAGGATTAAGCGGGATTGCGTAAGCGGGACTGCGCGGAAACTAACGGGATTATGCCAGATGTTGCCGATTTTCCACCCAGTGCTGGGTTTCACCTCCCGCCAGTTGCATCCTACGCTCGGAGAGGGGGGCCCAAACATCCAACGTTTCGGACCAAATAAGACCGAAAGTTCTTCCGGGCGTCCGACAGGGGGGGCGTCCTAGAGGGGGCGCAATGGCGCAGGCCATGGGCTGTGGGCACGACGCGGCACAATCCCATGACCCAGACCGCTTCGCCAATGACCGGCCCAGAGTTGTGAACGGCTCTGGCTCTGGCTGCAACCACTGCATTCTGTGACCCCCCCGCGCCTGAAACCCCTGCGAGGACCCAAGCAGAGGTCCGAAAACAGGGCCCGAATCGGGATCGAGCCCGGGGCTGCCGCTTGCTCTCCGCCTTCGGCACTGGACACCTCAAGGGCATCCCATGATGAGGGCGCCCAAGAAGCGGGGGGGGAAAGGCAAATCATAGCCCAAGGCACGTGCGCGGCCTGGGGGGAGGGGCCAAGGGACGTATCAAAATCCCCCGACACCCGCTTGTTGGGGGGTGCAAAGGCGCGCGAGATGACTCGCTGTCATGACGGGAGGAGGCCGGGAGCAGGTCCGGGGAAGGAGGCCCGCCCTGGCGCCTCCAAACCGTCTCAAGGGTGCCAAGACGGCCCACGAGGGCCCAAACAAAGCGCCAAGACAAATCTACATAAGCATCGCGATGGCCCAAAGTAGCCCCACGACGGTCCCAGATGGCTTCGAGACGGCCCACGTGGTCCCCACGACAGCCCACAAGTGCTCCCAGAGGACCGCCGAGAGAGCCACAAGAGCAAAATTTATACCATCCCCATCGGGAAACGTAGGTTCCTAGCATACTCTATGTTTGTTCCGTCTTCACGGCGTCCAAGACGAAAAAGGCTCCAAGACGGCCAAATAAGACCTAAAGAGGACCCCAAAGGGGCCCCAAGACGGCCCCGGGGGCCACTTATGACGGACCAGGAAGACCCCAAGAGGGACCCAAGAGGGGAAATGCAAACTGACATCGTGAATCTTCCCCGCCTTGATCACCCCAAGAGCCCCCCCGTGACCCCCCAGAGCACCCCGAAGAGGCCCCCAGAGGCCTCCAAGAGGCACCCAAGACGCACCCAACAGGCCCCCCAGGGGGCCCCCAACGCCAACCGGATTCCCCCAAGACCCCTCCAAGAGGCCCCTGACAGGAGCATTCCGGGAGACCATCGTGTGCACCCCCGGGACTCCTGGCCCACCAGGCCAGGCACGGTGGCACGACTCTTGACGAACACACTGTGATGAGATGTCGGCGGCGCGCAAGCCTCTGGAATGAGAGGAGGGGGGAAAGAAAGAGAAAGGAGGATCTCGGGGAGAGGGGGGGCGGGCGCCCCCGGCCAGCCTCGCTCGCACCCTGACGGCGGCGCATCGGGCCGAGGCTGGAGGGAGAGCGAGAGCGAGAGATGGAGAGAGAGAGAGAGAGAGAGACCAACAAACTGACAGATCCGAATGGGAAAAGAAAGAGGTAGAAGAGGGAAGGGGGGAAGGGAAGGAGGGGGGCGGAGGGAGGCAGGGGGGAAGGGAGAGGCAGCCAGGAACGAGGAGGAATTGCCGAAGAGAGCAGGACAAGGCGGGAGTCGGAGGACGCCGACGACAGAAAACACTGCCGCAACAAAAGCACTGTCCTCGGCACCCTCCTGCAGTGGCGGGTCTCCCGCGCACCAGGCATTGATCACCAGCTCCGTCGCCTTCCTGGTCGCACTCAGCGCGCCCTTGGCCAGGGATCCACAGGATGGAAAGCATCAGACAGGGAGAACGGCCACGGAGAAAAAGGATGAGGAAGAGGCGGAGGGAGGGAGGGAGCAAGAGGAAAAGGCAGAGAGGATGGAGGGACGAGGGAGAATGATTTAAGGGAGGACTGTGAGAACTCCATGCAAAAACGCGCGAAAACGGAGGTCCACTGTGGACACCATGGGTGGAGACGAGGACCATGCTGGAGCAGCAGGATATGAGAAGAGGAGGACGAGGGAAGGGGGAGCAGGAGGCGGATGCGCGCGAGGGGGAGGGAAGGAGGAAGGGCCCCACCACGCTGAGCTGGCGTCGCGGGCCGCCTTATGCTCGCCCACCCCCAGGGAAGCCGAAAGGCAATAAGGAAGCGCCCGCAATGTTTTCTGTTGGCCTGCGGAGCCCGAAAGCCTGTCCGCAGGGCGGGGGAAGGCGGGGTCGCGAAACGGCGCGGTGACAGACAGTCTGGGACCCCAGGACAAGGTTCAGTCGAGACGTCCTCTGAAATCGACCCCTGTCCCAAAACCAAAACCGCGCGGTCACTCCGAATCCCCACTGACCCACCACACTGAGTTTGAAGGGGCTGAAAGGCCCAGCCAACAGCTTCGCCTCAGGCAAAGCCAAGCTCCAACTCTGTTGTACCGTAGTAACGATAGTCCAGTATGAGAGGAGATGTCATCTCAAGCAACAGGAAGATCCGTTTGGTTTTGATAGCGATTGTGTGGCTCGCAGTGAGCCACGTTCATATTTAGGCAGCCGGCCGCTTGAGCCGACGCGGCCGCGGGCGCACGCTCGCTTCCACTCCTTGCGTCCCTCAGCTCGCTTTAGAGTCGGGGGGGGGGGTAAGGAGACGAAGCGTGAGCCCATCGTCCCTATAGAGCAGGCATAGCAGCTAACATACACAAGGACAGAAAAGGAAGCGGGCCTAAAGGAAGGTGGACCCGCTAGCAAGTTGCCTCGTCACGCGGCGTCAGAACGTGATGTGTATGGCCGGCCCAATATGGAGTATGTCTCTTCAGGTCATGGTTGAAGGTCTGCATACCTCCCATGACTTGCAGGAACATTTATCTGTCGATGCTCCTCTTGGTGTGGCCATCCGCAGTCATATCGCGGGTATCACACCAATGGATGCTGTGCACGATTCCACGCTCCATCATCTGTCGTAGCCAACTGACGTGTCCTAAAAGGGTACACTCAGCCGGCTTCTTCAAGTCTTTGCTTGACAAGCACTTCAGACCAGACTCAGCATCGATGGTCAGAGTGACCTTGGTGCTCAGGCCACCCAACTTAAGTATATATTTCAAATGAGTGGGCGTGAGCGGCCCCGCGTGGAGCTCGCGCAGAGTCACAATCGTGGGATAAAAGTCCTCCGAATTATGCGCTGCTGCGAGTGTCTCCGCTGAATAACTCGAGCGGGCCTACAAGCGGTGAGACTTGCAATGCGCATCAATCAAGTGAACGACAGGCTGACCAGATGACGTGTCTCCACGTCATAGCAGGTTTGCCCCGCGAATACCATAGCCTTTGACGTCATCATCGGCGTCTCCACTCAGGCGTCGATATCGTGAGTCGCCATGGGGGTCGACCTCGCCCGTGGGGTTCATCGCCTGGTAGACGATCTTCTTCGCGCGGGCCTGTAGCTTTCTGGTGATCGCGCTCAGTCGTCGCGCTTGAATGTTGGTCGGTTATTGGGCGCGCTGTAGAGATACTACATACACGATAAACCGCACCTGGGTGATTAGTGCGCATGCCACCGCACCTCTGGGGCTGACAAACATGTCTGACACCATCTTGGTTGCCTGAGCGTCAGCGTCGGCGCGGGTAAGTTCCAGATGTTGTAGAGGACGGAGCTGCTAGATATTTTCCTATTGATCCAAAGTGACATTGCCGTCCTCGTCCTTGGTGTACCTCACAGCACAGTTGGTATGTGTATGCTTGTTGAGTTTACACTTACCAAAGGCATCTTCAACGCATTTGACATATGTGCCAGTGGTGTCCTCAGTACCGACCACATCAATGTCAACAGCATGCTTGGCCGTGGGCAAGTCGTTGCTCGTCTCCAACTCCTCGTCGTAGGACGTGGGTCGGAGACCAAATCCTCTGGTGGTCCTCCTGAGCTTATGTGAGAAAACCCGTGGAGCGTCTTCAGCTTATGTGCCTGGTTTCAAGCACTGTAGGCAGTGCTATGACTCGTCGTAGTGCTCGAATCCTGGGAGAGTCCGGGGCACTGTGGCCGATCCAGGCGGCAAAGTCGAACGCACCACACGTTCCTTTTTACATGTAGCCTCAACAAGTTCCTGATACAATCCCTTCAGGAAGGCCATGCTGATGGCGAGGGAAGCAATGACCCACTGCTTATTGCTCGCTGCCGTGCTAGCGAGTAACCTCTGGCTTGACTGTCTCGCCGTTCCCGAGCATGTTGCTACGCCGAAAGCTTCAAGGTCCATGAAACCTCGGAGAACCGAGCGTAGTCGGATGGCACGTTCCATCTCGCCCTTCTCTTCCTTCACGAACTTCCATGCGTGCGCGTATCTCGAAGTCATGGTGTTCGACGCTTTCGCTATCTCCTGCATCTCAAAGCATTTGGTGTCGAATCATGTCTTGAGCGCAGTGTAGAGGGCCTTCGATACTTCATCGGGATTTGCCTGAATGTCAGCTGCAGCGAGGAGGTCGTCTTCCTTGCTGACCACAGCTCGCTTTGCAGCGGCCGTGACGTATACTCGCATAGTGGTCACCCGGCCGGCATCAAATATCATGCGTTGTTGCTCGGACAAGACTACCTGCGACATTTCTGCCGTAAAGCATAGTTCGACATATCGACCAGTCTCGTCTGCGTCGAGTCCGTAGCTGTCATCTTCGTCCATGGTGCACATCGGGGCGTAGTACGTCCTCTTGTGCATCGGAGTCGCGAGTGCGCCCCCATTTCGGCAGGTGCCCCCGCTGTTCATTAGCTACAGTGATCAGCACACTTTGATATGGAACCATCTGTGCAGGTATGGTGAAGAGGTCCTCTGGTGGAGTTGCCTCCAACAGTTCCCTTTCCTCTGGTAGTTCTGCATACCACACCTCCTTAACATGCGACTCAAGATCAGCATCTGGTTCTTCGTGAATCGCAAAGAGCCGTCCGTCATCCTATGATGGTTCGGCTTCTGAGGCTCTTCTCGCGGCTCCATCCAGTGCCGGTGTATCTGCCAATTCCTCCATTTCTGACATGTCCTTATCCGTGGGCTTCAGACATTGGATAATTCGTGCATGCGCTGATCCAGTTATACCGTGTATATTCAGAGCAGTACCTTCTGCTTCGTGATAATGAAATCCTGGATTCACGTCGCTGTCGCAATGGACCAAGATGCAGCTGTCGGCATAAGTAACCGGAGATAGCTTATGAATACTCTTGGCTAGTCTGACTGAAACTACACCCTCAATGCGAAAGAAGTGTCTGAAAAAGGTACTGTCGGGCCAAGTGTACCTTAGGAGATAGGCGGCTTGCGGTCGTCATCTGAAGCGCCCCTTTTTCGGCCGGCACATAGCCAAAGGTCAAAGCAGGTCTCCCCGCTGATAGGCTGGCTACGAATGTCAACGCTGTGCGTATTGCAGTGTTGTCGGAGCAAATCTGTCGGGCTATGAGTGCTTCAGTGTGTAATGAATGCCTTGCATCGCCGCATTGTACTCGAACATCTCGATTGCCCACTCGGATGATGACCTGACCCCCTTCGGGATCATTATTCACAACTGGGAACGGGCCATTCCAGCCTCCCGAGTCATCCTTCGCGGCCGTAGGGCGAAGGTGATCGACCAAGTCTCCTTCATCACCGTAGTGCTGACCGGTAATAGTCGTCTTAGTGCGTAAGGCACGATTGGTCTTAGCTGCTGATGTGGCCTGTGTGATAGCTTCAATGCATATCCTGCGCATCGTCTGTTCACGAGAGCGATCCGATGTTTCCGTCGGCTGCTCGTGGTCCAGGACAGGTGGGTCAGGGACCATTGCTGGTTGCCGTCCAAATAGAGCGCCGCATGGAGACACCTCGCCATAGAAGGTGAACGCGCTGGCGGCGAGCAGGGCTTCGTGCAGTAGTCGGGTGAACACAAGAGGTATATCTAACCTATTGGGTTCAGCCTCCATGGAGTGAAGTGAGCGGCGTAGCATGCCGTTTTTGGCCTCGATCGTTGTAGCGTGCTGTCCACGCGCGCGTATCCTAAGTTCAGTGCATATTGCCTTGAGGACTGCTTTCGCAGTGTCGTTGTCAAGGGCGCCCTCTCTAGAGTAGCGTTCCTTTGCTGGTCCAAACTGCACCCAGCACTGATGATATGCATCCAGGATACTGTCGTAGTCTTGTCTGGTATTTCAATCCCAGTAGCATACCGCATACAGCGATCGGCAATCGATAATATTGAATCGATTGTGTTCTTGTTTGTAAGCCATCAGATCACATTCCACCTCCTCATGGAATTTGCCAGGTAATGCAGTAGAAGGCATAACGGTGTGCCCAGGCTTGTCCCAAGCTCTGCATTCTCGGCATGTGTCGCAGACACCTTTGATTAGGTTGAATCTGACATTGTCCAGCTCCTTCGCATGGAACCAACGTAAGTGAAACTTTCGCAACTCGCGCGTTCCCACGCTGGGGTCAAAGCTTCGTAGGTTTTGTAGACTGATTTGTACATCGAACCGTGACCAGTCTGGTGGTCGTGGTCGTACAGCAGGGTTCCCCGCTGGCGGCGGTGGAGGTGCTTCTCCACCTTGTTGTCGTCCACGTCTGACTCTAATTGTGGCAGTTGGAGGTGGCCATCCGAACTGCCAGCCCAACTCGAGGCAGGTTGCCCTGCAGCAGGCTCAGCAGCATGTCTTCCAACAGTAGCTTGCGCCCGCGGTAGGTCCGGCTCTATAACTGGGTCTCGGTGCTCTCATCCGCGTAAGTGGTGATTCTGCTGGCGCATCGGGTGGCGACGCTGCTAACTCAGCAGGATCTGGCGGTGCAGGTCCTGCTGC